GGGGTAACTTGTTGGATTTAAGGTAGTCTGGGCAAAATGTAAGTGAGCGAATATGAAGTCCATTTAAACTGTGGTACCTTAAATCCGACAAGTTACCCCGATAAGCCAGTAACCCCGCTTCGTAGTACAGGCCACAGGATTATAGCCTTTGTTTATATTTGAAACAAACAACCCTTAATGTTCTGGGACGAGAGCTATTTTTTTCTACAAAGGATGATCCAATTACACTAATCGATAACGCTGAATAGCACACCGCATTCATAATCGTGATCATGCTTACTAATACCACTGGTTTACTGGATGGATATAAAACCCATGGCGATGCTAAATATATTTTTAGTCCTGCCAAAAATAGACCCTCTGATTGATTTCCACTAAATGTCTGGGAGAAACGAGTTAAAAAAAGACATTTACCCCGAGGTGCACGTAATCATAATTTTCCTGCCCTTTGTTTATTTGTGTGAGCGTCACCGTTTACACAATGCTGACCCTTCACCGAACGCATTATCTCCCGGCGATTTGTGAGCTTTATCTGGACGCTCCGTGACCGATAGGGGAGCCATTATTTGCCGCGCGCACACCGCGAATGGCAGACGGACGACGTGACCAATCAGGACTCGGCAATCAAACTCATCGCGAGGCAGAATCAGGCACGTTAGAGGCTGGCAAGTCAACATCATGCAACAGCAGGCCACTGTGCATTATGGGTTGGGAATGCGTTTTGTTTACTTTTCAGACCTAATTCAATTGTCTTGTAATATAGTCATTAAATAAAGGAATGGTGCACGATATCCACAAATTCTACATTTAACAACAGAGAATGCACGAGATTAATATTTTTTTTCTTGGAAAGTTTGCTCACTGTGTAGATGATAAAACTGGAACATTTGTGCGCTGGCTCTTCTGGGTGCTTTTGAAGATGCGGAGATAGAGATGCAGGGGACTGTGAAATTCTGAAATCCTTCCAGAAAAACTACAACCGCCCCATGCTGAACGTGCGTCGTGATAACAGTAAGACCCCCAAGCCCTGGGGTGGTGCAGCTACTCTATATTTAGCCTCTTTGCCCTTATTTTCTGCTCCCCAGGGATTATGGGTATCAGCTGTCTGCAGGGAAGGGCATGGTGAATGGCCAATTTTTATCTCTTTTCCTCTGCCCACGGCTGAGGAAATGGCAAGTAATTCAGCGCGCAAGGTTCCATCAGATGCCTTCTTTCCTGAGCTTTCATGCCGATGTTGACAATATGCCAACAGGCTGTTCAGCTTTTGTTTCTTCGATTTCTCTTGACTTTACTTACAATAAATCTTTTCAGATCTAATTTTTGACGCCTCACCCAAGTCCAGTCTGAGGAGCACCAGGACCGCCTGTCACGTTGGAGATCTTCTGGGTTTTCCCCGCTGCGGTCAGACTGATTGGGAGAAGGCTACTGGTCGGGGGAGGTCTTTCAGCTGCCGTTGTTGTTATCGACCACAGCAAATGACCTTACGGAGATACCAGCTAGATCAAAGGGAACCTCTCTCACTCCTGCCAATTTTAACAACACTCCAGTCCACAAGTAGATAAAAACTTGAATGCTTGGAAGGAATTCAGTGTCACCTATTTATAAGTACAATTAATCTCCCTAACGGGTCCAGCAGGCCCCTTTCTTACTGAATTTAATAGGCCCCCACCAATCAGACTGCAGTCTCCTTCTGAAGCTCAGCCTCGGCGGGTGGCCGATGTCAAGTGAAGGTTAGCCAGCCTAACTGGAGAACCTGCAATTTCCACGACCTGAAATATCTCTTGTCACCTCGCTTCAAAAGACACAAGCATGGAAACTAATTTGGGCACAGAGCTATAACATGGTCGATAAACTGTATGAAGACGGTGTTAACACTAGCTTGGGCTGTTTATTTTGCTGTTAGTCCAGAAGAACCTCAGATTATAAAGTAATTGGGTGCAGAACACCAAAGACCTGATCGTGGCTTGCTTTGAACGTGAAGGTTTATCTTCGTTTTACTATCCCAGAATTCCCCAGTGCAGTCCTGAAGGCCCATGTTAATTCTCAAGCTCACCAAGCTCACCCAGTTCAAACTGGGGAAATGTGTGAACACATGGATGTGGAACAAACCAGAAAAAAGAAACAGCACCCTCTGTCTGCAGAGACATTTATTGCAGTTTTCCATGATGCTCAGCCACATCTTTATGGGCCTGTAAGGTTTATTGTTCTATTTAAAAATTGTATTTGTCTCTGTAAATACCAGTCTGAGTTCCTTTTTTAGAATCACTGATTAAAAGATAAGCTTTAATTGGATAATGATTCACAGACTCAATCTGTACCCGACGCATGATATTTTTCCGTGGGCTTCAGAATAAATAAAAAATATTCAAAGGAAATGCTAGCTGGAGAATCTGCTTACAGCTAGTTAATGCGTTTATGTACCCCCATGGGATACCTTTTAATCACTGAGCTTATTTTTGCTGTTGATTTTTTTTAGCTTGAAAGTTGGAGTCGGCAAAGTGATTTCACTGTTGGGCCCCTGAACGAGGCCCTTTTTGGATAAAAGCATTTGTTTATCATTGGGGAATAAACCTTTGAGTGCGGTAAAGAAGGCCGGCTGCAGCTCGATGCTGGAGTTTTATTTCCACATGATCTGCAGGCACACAATGGAAATTATTTTAATGAAATTAGCTAAGATGTCATTCATGTGTGAGGACATCAGTGCTGTGGTGGATTAGAAGATACATTCTGCTTTTGAGTATCACACATGTTCTATCCATCTTTCATACAAGTTTAGAAACACAGAATAATGAACAATGGTGGGCAATATACAAACCCAGATGAGAGAGGTTCAGATTCAAGAGTTTATTGTCATGGTAAATAGTCGATTGCACTATAAAACTCTGAAGTGTCCTGTCAGCCATCCCTAAACAAATCAAAAACAAATACAAATTGGGGTGTTTCAGTAATACATTAAATATGAATACAATTACCACAATAAATATGTAAACATTGTGCAATGTAAACACAATGCAAGTGTTATGAGTATCCAGATGTGGTTAACATGGGTAAAAAGTACTACACTGATCAGGCAGATTAACATTTCAGCTAAGGGTCCCCAGGGGTTCAAGATAGAGGGTGATGAGAAACACATTCTGACCATGCATATCGGGGCTGCGTGTGGCTAAGCAGCTTTGGCTGCTGTCCTTCCATCAGAAGGTCATTGGTTCAAGTCCCAGGGTTGATGAGCTGATGTCACCATATGGTCCTCAAGCAAGTGCCTTAAGCCCAATTTCCTGAATGTGTAAGTGACTTTTGAACAAAAGTAAAGCATAATCAGTTAAAACACTTTAGTCAAGCAGGTAGATTTATAATTAGGTAGACAGACTGTGGTCTTGTGGGTACACAAACAGGCTAAATGCACCAGAGATTTAGACCAGAGTGAACTAGGCCAACATCCCTGATACAGGCAAGGTGATGGCAGCTTCTGTGTGACACATTAACTACCCATAATGAGAAATGACATGGTATCACTGCGATCGCGAGCCAAACCCAAACCGTCCTGCATTCCTGTGCTACTGTGGCCCCCATCCAGGTCTCCTCAATGGCCCCCCTGTCCTTTGCGGGCAGCCAAATTCTAACACTTTCTAAACCGCGCGTACCGCATCTAAATTTAACACGCAGGTGATAATGGTCTGCAATTACAGGAAGGGTCATTGGGGATTGCTTTCATTGTTGTTTCGTAAGTTAGATATTAATAGTTTTATATTATTTTAGGCCTGTATTCTTCTGTTTCAGAAATATTTTTTCAGTAACTAATTGCATCTAAACTTTGATGACATATTTCAAGAAGTAAATATAAAAACTGTGTTTTGACAGGGCAAGTGTTTTGAGTAGTCAGGCTGTACATGTATGTTGGGAGGGTGCTGTGACTAGCAGATTGGGACAGTGTGCCCTTGATCAGAAGGTCACTTGGTTCAAATCCCAGGGTCAGCAGAGTGATTTCTCCATTGGGCTCTTAAGCAAGGCCCTTACTCCCCAATTGCCCCAGAGATTATCTCTCCCTGCTTTCTTAAAAAACAATGTATGTCACTTTGGATGTAAGTGTCTGATTAATAAATAAAATGTAAAATGATCAGCATGGAAGGGGTCATGTTGAGGTTTAGCTTTGCTCTGCTCTTTCTCTGTGGCTTGCGGTTTGCTGTATGGAATCAAATCTTTTTCGTTCCACACAGCTGTTCACCCTACATGTTCCCCTGCCCCGCTGGGTCGGTGGCCCAGAGACTCACGGGCACAGCTGCCGTGGAGTGATGATGATGATGATGATGTCAGAGGTTTGGCACCAAAGCCTTTTCAGCTAGTGACAGGTGATGGAGCCTTTAGGCTAAGACCACAATCTGCACGGCTGCTCTCCCTCTAACTAGCAGTGGTAATCCACACCCATTTCCCAGAATCACCTTGGAGTAAATCTGCTCTTCCTGTACATATCAATGTTTGTAAAAACTAAAAACCTTTGGCATCACATCTAGGGTGTCCCCTCTCTCATGCTGTGTGATTCCTGGAATAAGCTTCAGACTCACTGCAACTCTATACAGGGAAAGCGGTGTGATGGATGGATGGATGGATGGATTGGTGCATGGATGGATGGATGGATACCCAAATCTGTGCATTGGCTTTAAACTCTAATAACCTCCATTATAATTAATAACTCAATGATTTAATACAGACATTCCATTGCTGTTGACGTCACTGTGCCTCACACAGCCGCGATTTCCATTGAAATGTGTTGCCCTTTATTGCCGTTTAAGTGAGTTTAACTTCTGTGTATTTCTCTCAGGACTCCTCTGACGTCTTGAACGCGATTTTATTCCCTGTGAAAGCGATGAGGAGCGCCGAATGGCATGGTGTGCCTGAACAAACAATGCAATGTTTCACCGAGACACGTCGCGAAGCGCGGGGGAGAACACAATGTGATATTAATTTTCTGACGGGTCTGACAGCAGCTGGGTAAGGAGGCTCTTTTAGGTGAACGGCAGGCTTTTATTTTCTCAGACAACTGCAGCCCTCGAGTGTAAGAGAAGGAAAGTCCCTGACAGCTTGTTCTGTACCAACCTATGATGTACCTGTGATCTTTTTCCCAAATGTCGGAGGGCAGTGTCAGAACTTCTCCTCCGTGGAACATCCTATTCTTTAGGAGAACTATTGACCAAATTGAGAAAGATAGATTTTAGACAGACAGACACATGGTCTTACGTATTCTCTGTTGGCCACGTTCTTGTCCCCACTGATAGACACTGCGCTCCCTTTCCCAAACCATTAGCCCCACATAAATAGACCAGACCTATCCGTTATTGCATTAAGAAGTTTGACAGTGGCTTGTCCTTTGATAATCTTACCCAGCTGCTAATCTGAATAGACTCGCTGGTCTGTGTTAGGGAAGGCTGATGTCAAATACAGTTAAGTCTATCCTGGAAAGATGTTACTTTTGACTGTTGGAAAGGTAGAATTTTTTTTTAGCATTTATTTTAAAGTAATGTAGCGCATCGGAGGCCAGTGGCCTGGTTTTCCTGATGTGTGACATCTCAGCATCATTGCCCCCTGAAATCCTTTATAAAAGTTCCACTTCACCTTGCAGGAAGGAGTCAGCACTGGTGTATAGGAGGGCTAGCTTGGGGATTGAGTATTTTAATCCAGATTCTAAAGGTTAGAGTTTTTTGGGTCTTCGGGTATTCATTTTGGATCTGTGCCATGTAGACTTATTTTTGCACTTGACTGTGTTTTTAAGATGGGCGGGAAAATTCCTCGAAAATTATTATTGCCCTAGATTTGATATGTTTTCCGTGACAAAGCACCCTGACAGCTAGGCAGAGGAGAGCGGCATGATTCACCGCTGACGTGAAGATCTGTTACTCAAGAGTACTTGGAGGCTTAACGGTCTTAATTAAAATGTTATTTCTTGCATTTGATTACAAAAAGGGTTTTTAAAAGACGCCTTTGTTTGGTAACAGAACTTTAATTGGAGATTCTATAAAACTGGCAGTTATAAAATATACGGATGCCAGTGACAGGGCAGTTCCATAGATTTCTCTAATAACAAGAAAGGTGTTATCAGTTTGGCTCTGCTACACAATAGCTGATAATTTGCATAAATAGATTACCTGTATAATAATTCTATAAAAGACCATTTCAGTAGTACAATGATTTATTTTATTGACCGTAACCAAAAGCTGCTTTTCTTTCTCAGGAGTTGGATTCATCTCCACTCCGTGCTGCATCTCCGTCTCCATGGTAACAGACAGCTTTCCTTCATACCGGTCCTCATGGCTCTCGCGTGTGGGAGCGTGTCCGCGGCACTGCGGCGAGGTGCCCCTCACCGGCTCGCCCCCCCCCCTCACTCCCACGCGTCACGCTGCAGACCGTACCTGCGGCTGATTTTTACTGAGCCTACTCAATGAAAGCTCGATTTCACGCCTCTCTGGTTCAAATGGTCCCAGATGTAGGTGTGTGGATGTGGAG